AAGAATTATGAGAGGATTAACATTTACTATATTTTAAGTACTTGATAAATTCAATTTATAATCATTAATTTATGAACGTATGTACTACCCATTTTCATAATAAAATAATTCTGTTCATTTTTAAAGGATTTCAACAAGGTCAAATCGTATTAAAAGGCTTAAACTTTTCCAAATTGTACCAAAGTTTAAATTTTACTACCTTGCATTGGAGTCACTCTAACACTAGTGTCAGCATAACAACTTTTCATAATTTAGGGAAATAAGTCTAAAAATCCAAAGTAAATCTACTTTTATACCTCATGCTTATATGGAATCCGTTTTTCTTATATACTTATATTGACACATTTTCATCATCTTTAAAATTTTGATATAACTAAAAACATGAAAACTTCAAACACTAACCTACATTTTTATGTTTTCAATCTAACTTATCTTGCAATCCAATTTGTATTTTCTCCAGCTACTTTTAGTTTTTCTATTGTATTTACTCACCTACAGTGAATTCTGAAAGGTTTGACAGCTATTAAAATAGAGAATATCAAGAAGGTTAGTCAGTGTCCTTATTAAAATCCAAGCAGTCATTGAAATACAAAGAAAAAATTGGAATTGTTTCACTCTTATTTAATTTATTGAGAAGCACCAGATTTGGGTTGGGATTTATATTTTAAGTAGTATTTTGCATATTTATTTCACTTTTTGTGTGTATAATGACATTTTTAACTCTTTGAACTTGTCAATTTTAAAATTGGGTTCTTTGAAAATACCTAAAGAATCAATTTCTAGAATCTTTTAAATGTGGCACCACACTGCATATTTCTTATGAATGTTAAATGCTGCTATCAAGTCTCTTCTAGATAAATTTCTATGTGCAATTTCTGTTGATTTCTTTGTTCATAAGAAAATTTATTACTAATATTAATCTTTGAATGAATCAATTGATGAAGGCTTCTTTCTAAGGTGAATTTTAAATAATAAAAAATGTAAACACAACATAAACACATATACAAGTATATTTTACATATATGGGAATATATATGTACAAATACTTCTGCATTCACACATACACACATGTCTAGTATTTGGAGTCTCCTAAGGTACCTCTTAATTTAAAAAAAAAAATCATACCTTAAAAACTATTTTTATACCCTATTTTGTTCTCCACTCTTATCAGAACTTGATACACAAGCTTCTTAAATATTGCTTTCAACTTTTAAGAACCTTGGGTTTTTCCAGACTCTAGTTACCTTATTATACATTTTATTGAAAGCTAATAATTATTAGGACATGTAGTGGGTGGTTACATAAGTAACATCACACTACTGGCTCTATGTACAAGCTACAATAAGGGCAAATGGTACAATTAGAAGCACATTCCTTGGTGCATAACAATAGAAGCCTTGGTGACAATGCAAGATTAAGAAAAGGCTAAAACATCTTTAAAACTACTCATTACCACCAGTCAGAGTGTGCATATTTGACCTTTATGGTAATCAGAAGAATCTCCACTTATGCAGTAGGCAGCTAAATAATCGTCACTTTGGGCACACAGTTTTCCTTGAAATGACCTAAGGTTAACATGGTTGATCCTGAGGTTGACACTGACATTGAATCAACTCATCAGCGTGAAAGGCCACCATCTTCATCACCTGGGTTACAATGACAGGATAAAGAGAGCACTGCAGATTTTTCTCTGCAAGAGCCAGTAGGACTTAAGTGTTGTCTGCTCTGTACATTTTGAAGATTGCAAAATTACTTAGAAACCTCTCCCTGAGGTGCAGATTCATTCTGTGGTATGATAATCATGCAAGTTGCATCAAAAATAACTGCTTAGTTTATTGCCTTGTTGTCTTATTATATTAAAACTTCATGCTAGATTCAGAAATCTCTTATTCTTGATCTCTCTCCTTCCCTATAGGTCTACTATTAACCCTACACATTTTAATTTGAATATATTAACAGTTGCAATGAAGAATCTCAAAGCTAAATTGCTACATCCAAATAACATAAAATCAACACTATAACTAGAGCTAATGTAGCAACTCTAACATCTGAGGAAAAAAAAAAATCTAAGACCCTAATTCACATGGAATAAATTTGAATGTTTTCTCAATGTCCCTCCCTCAAATATTACACCTGAAGATGTAGAAATCTGTAGCCACAATGGTCAGTATTCATAAATAATGGGCATTTAAAATAAAATGAAACTAATTTTTGTGTTGGAGAACTCATCATTCTCCAATTTTTGTAGTAAAACATCACATCAGATAACTGCAAGATAATTATGTCATCGATGTTATTTCCCAGATGGTTTTGGAGGAGTATAATGTACTGTACAGAAACAGAATAATTTAACAGTCATCAAAATTAGAACAGAGGATTAAAAAAGTTAAAAGTTAGCCAAAGAAAGATTTTTAACCAAGAAAAAAGTTCCCCAATAAGTGTGTCTTGGTTGGCACTTAAAAATAGTCATTCATGATTGCCCCTAATGTATACAGTGTTAATCTATGTGTACCTGGAAAATCTGGCAACTTCCTGTACTTCAAAGTCATTGCCTTTGCTATGAGACCTAGAAAGTGCTTCAGGATTCATTATGACATGTGGAATATATAAGCAATAAGGCATGACAGGGAGTGTGGCTGTCATATGATAATCACACCCCTGGGTCATTACAAAGCAAAAGGTGCAGTGGCGCACCTCTCATTCCCCCCGGGGTGTGATTACAGCATGGTAAGCACACTTCATGCCATTACCTTATTACTTTTATAAAGAGTCTTTGTTGGGAAGAAAATCCTTTTTTTTTTTTTCTTAAAGAAGACAAAGTTGGCAGTTAACAGTAATTTCAGCTAAGCCAGTTAGTCTATAGGTATTGATCTGCTCCCTTAAAATACACAGCTGCCAACACCAATCAGAACTCATGAGTCTAAGGCAGAACCCCTTGTGTAGTTGCGTGTTCAAATGATTCACCATAGGAGGAAAGTGTACCATGGTTACAAAAATCTAATTCCCGGAAACAACTATTGGGAAAAAAAAATAGAAAACAATTTGCTTCAAAGTAACATTTTTTTTCCCAAAATGATAGACTCAGAAAAGTTTACAGACTTGATTATATGAAAATACAACTTTAACCAGTTGATAAGCCAAACTTTGAGTAGTAAGGCATTTGTAATTTTTATTTTTTTCCACTTTGCTCCCCATCCAAATTCAGGTGTTGACTCAATTTAAGGTGCTATATCAGACACCAACTCCCATTGTTCTCATTCAAATTACAGCCTAAGGGTCTTATTTGATCTCGCAAATTTATAAAATCTGTTATTGTTTGGATATGAGGTGTCCCCTAAAACTCTTGTGTTAATGCAGGAATACTCAGATGTGAAATGATTAGATTACTTGAGCTGTGACCTAATCAGTCCATCCTAGTTTGAATAGACTAACTAGATAGTAACTGTGGGCAGGTGGTATTTGTCTGGAGGAGTTAGATCACTGGAGCATGTGGTGGAAAGATTCATCTTCCTTATGACACTTTTTCAGTCATAATAGCTGCTTCCTGGTCACCATTAGTGGAACAGTTCTTTTCTACCGTGCCCCTCCTCCATGATGTTCTGCCTTACCTTTGGCCCAGACCAATAGAGTACAACACCATGGACTGAACCTCTGGAACCTTGAGCCAAAAGAAAGTTTTCTTCCTCTAAATTGTCCTTGTCAGGTACTGGTATCGTAGTAAGAAAAAGTTGACTAACACAGGGACAAACATTATCTGCCCTTTTTTTGAGAAAGGAGATCCATATTGGTCATTTGTGCTTCTGTGTAAATGATGAAGGTCATTAGTTATCACTGTGATCTCTTTACTGTTCTAATGTCCTGTACATTTTGAGCACCTTGGTGTAGACAATGTGCAGTGCTTCCTTTGGCCTGATTTCAAGGCATGGATCAAATTTCACAAAAGGTTGTTAGTTCTCCCCTGAGCATCCCATCCGCTCTTGCATAAAATATCCCTTCATTAATAGAAAATAAATAAAGACCCTTAATCACATGGAATAAAAATTGAATGCTTCTTCAATGTCCCTCCCTCAAATACTAGTTCTGAAGAGGTAGAAATACATAGCCAGAACAGTTGCTATTCATGAATAAAGGACACTTAAAATCAAATGAAACTAATTTTTATGTTGGAGAGGAGAGCTCATCATTCTCATGTGTTCATAATAAAATATCATAACAGATAACTACAAGATAAAATCTCCATTTGTCTCTAGTTAAGTGGTCCTGGATTTGGACCCTCTACCCACCTTCTCCTTTGGTAGGTTCTTCATTTCACATTAGTTTTGCTGCTGCTATTGTTTCTGGGATCCTGGCTTCCCATACCAATTCAAAAGTTGCTTTTTCCCCTGTTTCCAGAGACCCCCTTTCCAATTTCATGAACTTCCCTATTATTATAACTCTGAATTGAAGATCTTGCACCATTTCATGAGGAAAGAAAAAATTAGAAGACATGCATCACAAAAACAGACACAAATACTCTCCCCTCCCTGACAATATACCCTTTTCCCCTCTGTAATCTACTTCATAATAAGAATGGAAAAGAATTGCTCTACTTGTTTAGAGGGACATTAACAGCTCAAAGTCACGTTGTGGGAAATAATTTGCTTTTCAGTGGATATTTCTCTAAACTTAAAAGTTAGAAATTCTCTTAAAGTAGAAATCAGAGGAAGTCAACCTTTTGTTATAGCCTAGATTATGAGATGTACCCACAACATTCATGTATGAGACAATGCAAGGAAGTTTAGAGATGAAATGATTTGGTTCTATGAGCCTTAAACTAAGCAGTGCTTTAGTTCCCTGACAGCGATTAACTAGCTGGTAACTCTAGGCAGATAGGGTGTGGCTAGGGGATATGGGTCATTGGGAGCTGTCTTTGGGGTATATATTTTGCTCTTGGTGAGTGAAGTGCATAATATACCCCCACCCCTTGCACTTGCTAGCTCTCTTTCTCTCTCTCTCCTTACCTTTTTCTCTCTCTCTTCCCCTCCCTCCTCTTGATTGCCATGTCCTGAGCTGCTTTGCTCCTTTCTGCCATGATGCTCTGAACATGAAGCCAGCCACCTACAGACTGAGACCTCTGAAACCATGAGCCCCAAAATAAATGCTTCCTCTTTTTTGTTGCTTTTGACAGGTCTTTTGGTCATAGCAGAAAAAAAAAAGGTGACTAAAACAGAAATTGATTCTGAGAAGCAGTGTTGCTGCTTTGACTAACCTAACCATGAAGCTTAGAAGATTTTGGAGCTTTTTGGAATTTGTGAGGAAATTTTTGAAAAATTTAGAGATGCAAGCTAGAAAAATGTTAGATTGTTGTGAGCAGAACTTAATGGGTGATTCAGGTGGGAGCTCAAAAGACCAGAATTCTGATAGAATTTTGGACAGTAAAAACTGTATTTATGAAGTTTCAGAGGAAACTGAGAACTCCATTGGAAATTGAACTAAAGGCCGTTAGTGTTGCATTCGTGTTAAGAAGTTGTCTAAATTTTACCCATTTCCTGAGACTCTGTGTGAGGCTCAGTTTAAAGATGACAGACTAATCTGGCAGAGGAATTTCAAGGTAGCACAACCTTCAGGGGGTGGCATAGGTATTGCTGGAGACTTTGAGACAAGTTTATTGTAATAATCAGGAGTAGAAAGCAAACAAGAAAAAATTGAAAAATATGTGGTCTGGACAGAAAACTGCAAGTAAAACTGGGGCTAAGGAGATGTGGTTATTAAAGACATCACAGTCACTAAAGAACCACTAAATAATTAGAACTAATAGTAAAGATGGATAGATGGCATCTCAGGAATTGGCAAGACCACACCCAACTCAGACTCAAGGGGATAAAACTAAAAGTTCCTTTAAGCAGCAAGCAATGGAGCGCTATGCTTGCAAACAGGGACTTGGGAAGTTGTTTCACATATTCAGCTGCCCAGACACTTCTAGGATGTTGTTGCCATGGTCCCTAGGGGTAAGGGACCATAAACTGCTCAAGATGGTGGCAGACCTTGGCATCAACAACATGGTGCTGGTTTGGCAGAAATTTAGGATGCTGGACTTAGGGGTCATGGAAGCTTCCACCAAGATTTCAGAGGCAGACCAGGGAGGCCAGGCACAGTACAGCAGAGTCAAAGTCCCTGCAGGCTTCCCCTGAGAGGATGGTGCATGAAGGTATGAGAAGGAAGACAAAGCTGCTTTGGAGACCCCCAACATTAAGAATTTCCAGTTGCTTAGGATGTGTGCCAAAGAAAGCTGCAGGAATCAAGCAGAGACAAGTCCAGAGAAAGGCCATGTGGACTACAAACAGCAAGGCCATAAGTGTGAAGCTTCACAAGGCCTTTGGCGAGAACATCACCATACTATGTGCTCTATGTACTGGACTTGGAGCTGTAGGACTTGTTCACTTAGTTGGATTTTGGTCTTGATTTGGTCCCATCCCTTCTTTCTATACCCTATTTCTTCCATTTGGAATGTAAATGTTTACCCTGCATGTTTACATATTGCATACTTGTATTTTTTTTTTTTTATTTTTGTAGCTGTTCATGCTGGGAATTTTTCTTGAGTCTCAGAGGAGACTTTAGACATTGATTTGGGGGCAATCCTGAAACTATTGAGACTATTGGGACCCTTGAAAATGACTTAAATGTATCTTGCATTGTGAGGTGGGTAGAAGTTTTGGGGGGCCAGGAGTCAAATGTTATGTTTTAAATATTAGGTGTTTCCCAAAATTCATGCGTGATGGAAGTTTAGAAGGGTGTTTAGAGATGAAATGATTGGGTTAAGAGAACTTTAACCTAATCAATACATTAACTCCCTGATAGGGATTAACTAGGTGGTAATTATATGCAGGTGTGGTATAACTGGAGGATGTGGGTTAATGGGGCTGGCTGCCTTTATGGTATATATTTTGTTCTTGGTTAGTGAAGTGCGCTCTCTCTCTCTCACTCTCTCTCTCTCTGTCTCTCCTTCCTGATTGTCATGCCTGAGCTGCTTTCCAGCTTCATACTCTTTTTCCATATACCCTTCTGCTATGATGTCCTGCCTCCTCTCAGCCCTAGAGCAATGGAACCAGCCATCTACAGACTGAGACTTCTGACACTGAGCCCCCAAGCAAACTTTTCCTCTTGTATGTTGTTCTTGTCAGGTCTTTTGGCCACAGCTGTGAAAAAACTAACTAAAACACCTTTTATTCTTGTCTGTGAGCTATCTCCATGTACTCTTTGCTTGATGTTTGAGTCAGTAGATAACTTTTAAGAAAAGTGAAGTTCTTTGTAGGATTCCATTCATCTCCATAACATAAAATATAGTTTTTATAGTAATTAAACTTGTAAGTAATTAAACTTACAAGAATCTTTGGTGCTGGCAAATTGACCACTAAATTTCTCAGACTCAAATGAATAGGCAGCCCACTAGGAACTATTTGCTTGTCTAATTGAAACAACTCTAAATCTGAGAGGACTAAAACACAGAGGACTAATTTATGATAATAGGTTATTATGTCCCCTCACCCACACTAAAGACTTGAGACAGAATACACATTCAGAGACCTCTGAACAAAGCAGGTTCCGAGGGACCTACATCAAATGTACTGAAGACTGGAAGATCCCAACCTGTTTCAGGATTATTGATCATGAGTCAGAATAATCTCTAATTCTCAGGGATTCCGAATATGAATATGAGTTGAAATATACCAAACTTGGGTGAAGAATGCAATTTTAGCTTGTTTTAAATGGTAAGAGTGCAGGCTAATTCAAATGCAAAGCAACAAGTAATCTAACAAACTGTCTTAGAAGTATATGTTGTTGCATCACATTAAGAAAAAAATGGCATTGGTGACAAATGTATTTTTAGAAGTTTATGCTTTTCAAACATCTAATTATTCTTCCTATAGAAATGTTATAAAACCACAGCTAAGAATCAATGAAGTTTTGATTCACAAAGATAATAAAAATAATAGTATTTATATTAGAAATATAAATATAAATAAAAATGAGAGTATTTGTACTAAAAATATAAATAAGTATATAAATATAAATAAAATTATAGTATTTATATTAGAAATATAAATACTATCATTTTGATTACAAAAAATAATAGTATTTATATGAGAAACCTTTGTAAATAGTATAAATGGTTAATGACCTAACAAAATATATTTACATAAAATATATTGTTATTCTAAAAGACAGTTATAAAAATTTGAAACTACAACATTTAAGTGAAAAAGTAAAATATAAAACTATTCTTAAAGTTTGATTGCAAGTATATAGGAAAAATGCATGAGACAATGCTCTAAATTTTGGCAGTAGTTATCATTAGCATAACTAAAGAATTAAGAATTACCAGTATTAAGGATAGATAATATTTTTTCTTGCATTTCTTTTTCTATTTTCTAGTGTCTTGTTCATTTTTATAACTTTTAAATTAAAATTTATTTTTGCATATCTTATAACAATATTAATGATTTGAATATATTTTATGTATCTTAAACATAGAACATAAAATGCACTATACATTTCAACTACCAAAGCAAATATCATAGTTTGTAAATCTGTAATAATGCTTGCCTCATTCTGTGTTGATCCACAGCAATAAAATGTTTCAGGATTCAAAAACAGAATATATTATTCTACCATTTTTTCCTGAGATCATAGAAAACCACACTTAAAATTTTTACAGACACAACCATATAAGCTTTGATGCCAATTCCCACTAGCATATACTCAGCACTTATTCATGAGACACAAGTAACAAGAAGACACATATATATCACATATGTACGTGTTTTTATGTAAAAAGTGTGCTATTAAGATAAAAGTCCATGAATGAAAATTCAGAGAACTATTCTAGTAAAGAAAGTAATCATTCTAAGGGTAAAATAAATTGGTTTGATCCATTTGCATGGAAATTTGATCACATAAAAATAAACTTTAAAATGTTGTTCGCATTTCTGCTCATAGCCCTCATAGCCCTGAGAAAGTAACAGAATTCTGCCATCTCCTCATAATAGAAATAATTTTCAAATTTAGAACACTGGAAAAATAGATCAAACAACCGTTTCAGACGAGGAAGTGTTGGAGGACTAAGATTACTGGGAAAGTACATGAAAGAAATGAGCTCTGTGATCATTCCAGTTTTCTAGCTGTGGGCAATTTTCAAATCCCATGGCAGGGGAGGGAAAACCAATCAAACTTTTGTTGTCTCTCTGAAAAGAGAAGACAAAGACTGGCTCTCAGAATAGGGTAAGGCAACTCTAATGGAGAGCAATGGAACAGAATACCATGAAAGATAGAGAGATGCAGAGAAAGATTTCCAGGAATCTGAAAATGGATCCCCTGCAAGTAGCTCCCCTTGGGTCTTTGTCTGACCATAAATTTATACATGCATTGGGTGAAATTTACTAAGGCCGAGCAAAGTATAAAATGTGAGGAAAGAAAAATTACTGGGAAGCTAGAAGCAAACAATCCCCCAAGATTATGCAAGGGAATCATTTGAATTCCAACAAATCAAAGAGAAATTTCAGGGTGTTAGAGAAGCAGGGCATTAGAGAAAGGATCACTGTTCATCTGTCCTCAGAAGTCTCAAGAACAAATTTGGAAACAATTAAATTAGTCTGCAAAATGTCCACTCTGCACAAAGACCTTACACTTTAAAGCAATATAATGAAGTCAGTCACTTCACTGTCCATAATAAAATTCAAAACATATAGTGTCCAGTTAAGAATTATACTACATGTAAGGAAGAAAATATTGCCCAAGTAAGGAGTGAAATAAATCACTAGAAACAGATGCAGAGATGACTTATATGATGGGATTAGAAGAGGACATCCAAATATCTGTGAAAAATGTAGCCCAGTATTAAGGCAAACATGAAAACAGTGAGAAAAGGAAATGCAGAATATAAGAAAGAAGCAAATGGATATTCTAGGAATGAAAAATACAACATCTTAAATGAAAATTTTATTGGATGCTATTAAGAACAGAATGGACACTGCAGAAATAATGACAAATGATCCTAAAGACATAATAAGAAATTAAAAACAGAGAAAGAGAATATAAGCTGAATAAATGTACAAAGATTTAGTGATCCGTGAGATA